AATGAAAATATGATGACGACATATCAGTTATATTATAAGTTGTTCATATCTAACTAAAGCTCAAGCCAAACTTTCACATGTATGTTTATACTTGATTTAATTTAATTTTTTTAATAATTGTACTAGGCCTGGACTTGGATTGTTCATATGAAATGAACAATTACTTCTAATGAGCTAATAAACAATCTAAAAATTAAAGCGAGTACTCGATTTTTCATATAAAATTGTTAATAAATGATTTTAAAAATATAAATAAATATGTAATTAAGAAAAACTTGAATTAATATCTAACTACTTTACATTAATGAAATAAGATAATGCACAAATTGCACACAAGCTTTGTTGCATTCAAATAAAATAAAAAGTATTATTAAACTAATTTATTAAAAAAGAATCAAATTATTTGTTTGAGGTCATGATACGAGCCCCCAACCACCCTCATGTGTCTAACCACTCGATCCCGCGCTGCAAGACAGAGATGCACTCAAGGAAGATCCAACCAGTGACCTTAGAGGACTTGCGCTAGGTTGCACTATCAAATAGTCACGGCGAGCAGCGCGCGCGCACACACACACACACACATATACATGCATACATACATGTATGTAATACATATATACATATATTTACATTAAATTATCATATATTTATATTAAATATATATAATAAAATATGTTATAATTAATTAAACTTTATTTAAAAAATATATTATATATGATATAAAATAATATAAAGCTTAATATCAAACATTTAATAAGTTACTTTTTGAACAACAAATGAGTTTATTTGTGAACATAATTAAACAAGTTGGATTGTGTCTAAGATTAGTTCATTTAACCGTTGAATTTAAAAAAAATATTAAACCTATTTATTTACTAATTTGAACAAAGTTGATCGAGTATTCATTAAGTAAAGTTGGAGTTGTTTATCGAGCGCATTGGTTTATTTACAACCCTAATAACAAGTAATGCTAGCATTATTTTCAAGTATATTTTTATCACATGACACTTCACTCTTCTCATATGGCTGATTATTGGGCTCTAATATGATTTCTCAATCCAATACGAGAATTTGAAAGAAATTCATGCTTCCTACTACCTAGGGGGAAGGCGACAGACAATATATGACTATAATTGGCTTCATCAAAATCAAACGCCATAAAACCTACAACACAATATTGGATTGCCCTCTCCTCACAACATTCAAGACACAATATTGGATTGCCCTTTCCTCACAACATTCTCGATTATCTTCACTAACATTGCAATTGTAAAATTTTTGGCAAGTGGCCAAACCAACGCCACTCAAGGCTATTTGTTGCGATCTTGAGAATGCTCGTTCAAGGTGATTGACAATGTTGAGGTTGAGGCATTGCAACTTAGCAGCTGGGATTAAGACCCATTGAACATTAAAAAAGTTGTCTTAGACGATGACCCTTCTTGCATTACGCTTAACACCACTTTTTCTAACTCGGAGCACAAGGAAGACCTCTACACAACCCTCCTATAGAATAATAATATTTTTGTTTAGTTTGCGGTTGAAATGTTAAGATTAAAATAAAATGATCCAAGCTGCTAATGAGATAAAAATTCACGAGGAGATCCATAAGCCAAAAGAGGATGGATTCATAAAAATAAATAAAACTATAATATACATAATGGAACTCAAGCTTTGAATGGTACAAATATTGAATGAAAATTAATAGAGATGCATAAACTTTAAAATCTAAACTAGGTTTGTCCAATAAACATTTATTTGCTTCCAAATACATTATCCAATGTGCTTATTATTAGGAATGTAAAAAATTACACAACAATATAATCGGGCTAAAAAAATCCGAGTTAGGGTGACCCAAATATTTTTTTGGCCGAGTACAGGTATCAAAATTTGACACGATTAAATTTTTAGCTCAAGTTCAGATTGACCCAAAAACCCGAAATTGACCTATGTAAACCCAAAATTGGGGAAGGGAGTGTATTATGCTTCTGCAGTTTCTCTTCTACTTTCTGCAGTTTCGCTTATTTCCTGACCTTGAACCTGACTTTCCAAGCGCCACATCTTACTTTCCATTTTCTTTTTCCTATTGCTTTTGGTGCTTCAGATTTAGGGTTGGAAGTCAAACTATGCTGGCATACTACAATGTTGGTCTATCTCCTAGGAGAAGTGTGACTTGTTCGAGTGCTCGAATGATTTTCATTGAAAGCCAATGCCAATCGGAGCCTTCGAATTTCTGTCAACTGCCGACACCAAGGTCGAAGGGTCTTAGCCTTTGGATTTCTGCTGATCGCCAACAAAGATATTTCTTATGCGCAGATCGCACTCCTCGTCTTCATTTTGATCTTTTATGTATTATTTGACATGAATTTTGAAACGACTTATTGTAGGGGATAAATTTTTATTCTGCTTATAGGTATTGTGAAATTAGGAATGTTGAAGGAAGCATATCTTTGTATGATTTACTCTTGATAATAATAATTTTAATTTTTATAGCCATTAGTCATTCTAACTTTCACCTTTTCTTCTTTGTGTTAATCATTATTATCATTGTTCTTTTTAGGGTAAATTGGGACTGAGGCAGTGCTAATGGATGCCTTATTTTTTATAGAATATTTTCATGCATGATTAATAGTAGGCATGTCAGTCAATTCAGTTCATAGTTGTGCACTATATATTTTTTTAAGATTGTCACATAACCTCGGGTCAGGTACAAACAAGCTTCAAGTGTCAAGTCATGTCATATTTTTGTTTATTTTTCTGTTGAATATTAGGCTTATTTGTTACCGAAGTTTGATGCTTAATTTTTTCTGGAAGCTTTCTGGTAAAATTGTCATTTTGCCTTAATTTAAATGATTGATTTTTGGGTTAAACAAGTCAGGTTGAGTTATAGGTCATGCTTGACCCATATCGTTGGCAGGTTAAACTCGCGAATTTACAATTTTCAGCCCTATAATATTTGGGTCAAACCAATTTAACTTGTGTCAGTTTCAAGTTAGATTCAAACCTGACTTGCACGCCCAAATTAAAACCCCTAGTTATTATGACCATTGCAGGAGTCATGTTTGACCCATATCGTTGGCAGGTTAAACTGGCGAATTTACAATTTTCAGCCCTATAATATTTGGGTCAAACCAATTTATCTTGTAACAGTCAAACCTGACTCGCGTGCCCAAATTAACACCCCTAGTTATTATGACCATTACAGGAGTCACAAAGCCCTTAGCGGCGACCTCAACCTTGTCGAAAGATTTCTTGATAGCAATCCTCATCTCGATCTTCTTAATGATGAATGCTGCAACAGTCTTGTTAGCCTCACCAAAGGCAAACACTTCATCAACTCTAAACTTATTAGAGGTTTTCTCTAAAGTGAATTTCTTATAGTGAAAATGTCCCCCCATTGGCCATCGAGCTTGGTGGTTGAGTTTGCATCTCCATCTTTCTTCCAGTGACTCGAGTTTCGCGTTCTTTATAGCAAGTTCCAAATTAGCAACAGGTTCAATAGCTTAAACAACTTCTGGCATTATTATGCAACAAAGCTTATCAAGACCTCTTCTGCAGTGCATCAACAATGTGTAGGACGGAGTGATGATTAAACCTTCTAATCTTTAATAAATGTTGAAGATAAAGTTGTTGTTCTTTGAACAATAAAGATAAAGAAAAATTAAAGGGCATTCATGGTCAACCCTATCTCAAGATGAGCTTAGTACTGATCACATGCCAACTGTCACATCAATCCTTGTCACAATTTGTAGAAACTTTGCCAAGGCTTTCTAAAACATATAGATGCATTATTTAGGTGCTTTTCATATATACTCTCTTGTTGTCCTTGGCTTTACGAAAGAGAAAAGAGAATAGGGAAATTATATACAACGATATTCTATTGAATTTTGATCTAAGTTAATTATTATGCATGAATTGGGTTCTACAAGTTGTTGAAGCAACACTAGCTAAACTTTTCAAGCCTGAAGTTGCCTAATACCTTGAGTTACCAATCAGCCTTGCTCAAGATTAACGGTTGACAATTCAACAAGAACAATAAGTCCAACTCGAAACTCAAAACTCAAATATTGAACCAGCTAGAGAATCTAGTAAGTCTTTGGACAAACCAAACCCTTCCTGCTAAATAATTTGGCTACTCATCTGGAGGACTACTTTGACGAGTAAGAGCTCTTGCTACAGCTTGTTGAAGTTCTCACTTGGAGAACTCACTCGCAAAGGGTTCTTAATAGCTTCAGTTGCTTTGAAATGCAAAAAACTTTGTATAGTACATCTTTTTTAAGCCTCTTCTTGATCACCTTAGATAGGTGTTGACTGGAGAGATGCTTAAGCCCACATCATCTTTTTATAATGTTGAAGACCAAATTGCAAAGCTTTGAACTTAAGGACCAATGACAATCAGAAAAAGAATTTTATGGTTAACCCTACTTCAATATTTAGGTCAATCTTAACCTACTTTTTAAGAGGTTCCGAACCAAAACAGATTTTATTGAATAAAAAAGCGTAGTCATCAAGATGCTACTCTCAAAGAAAGACTGCGCTATGAAAGAGTAAAGAAAATTATTATCAGTAATGTTAGGAAAGAAAGTGGAACAAGAATTTAAAAGTCATTAAAGATCAAATCATAAAGTTTAATTGCTAAAGATTCTCATTAGTTTCAGGGATGCAAGCTACGCGCCTATCGTTACAATAGTTTATATTCGTTTGTTTACCTTCTGTATGTGATCTCGGGCCAATAAACACAATAATGAACAAGCATTAAAGATCAAATCATAAAGTTTAATTGCTAAGGATTCTCATTAGTTTCAGGGATGCAAGCTACGCGTCCTATCGTTACAATAGTTTATATTCGTTTGTTTACCTTCTGTATGTGATCTCGGGCCAATAAACACAATAATGAACAAAAAGTCAATCAACCACAGAGATTTTCTCCGTCAAAATATTCCTAAATCCTTATCCAGAACAAAACAAGAACAGAAGCTGGTATTGCAGAAGAAAAAACTCACTCCAGGAGAGAGATCAAATCCAATCGCGTTCGTCCCCACGCCAGACAACAGCATCAATGGATGATTCCTCTTCGGCGCCTAAGATCACAAACCCATCCACACCAAAAGACAAAAATCGAACCAATCATCAACACTCAGTCATATAACAGAAGCCAAAATGATCAATATAACCCAATTACCTCATTGGAAGGGACATATCTCCAGAGGGCGATCTTCCAGCCGGTGCCCGGAACCGGCACGTGATGCAGCTCGTCAGCAGTGCAGATTTCCGGCTTCTTTCCCTCCTCCACTGCAGAAACAGCGCCAACTCCACCGCTAACTGCGGCTGGAGAAGCC